CGCGGAGGCCGTTTACGAACACGGAGAAGCTCTTGCTGATCGCCGGGTGCCACGCGGCGGGGCCTGAGGACCCAGACCTGGACGGTGCTGGCACTTAGGGAAGGCGGGAGCGAGGGCAGAGGGCAGGAAATAGGCCCGCTTGAATCCGTGAGTGGATCAGGTCCCTCTTTCCTTGTGGACTTACCCGAGGAAATCATCCAATACCCAAAGAGCTGCAGAATGTTATCCTTGAATTGTGTTCACAAGATTCCTGTAGATAACTCCAAGCAATTTTTTTTTTTATAAAAGCGAACTAGTCTTTTATGTCCGATGGTGATTGTATGTTCCATGAAAACCAAATGTGTTAAAAGGTCAGCAATCTAGTTCATTAGATAAAATGCTCTTAATTTTCTTAGGACCAAAATAATATATTTTTGACAGTAACTGTGCACTTTAACTTTTCTTTTTTTAATCCCTGATTTCCCTAACCCTTTACTCTGCTGCTGGTTTTGTCCATAGCTGCTTGTGAATGACAAGCTTTTTTTTCCTCCTATGCTTTCGCAGATCACAGAAGGGTTTGGTTCAGTTCTCTGGGAACTGATAGTACTAAACGAAGACAAGGCCAAAAGCATGAGTATGTCGGGAAAGAGCACTTTCCTTGCCCCACCCCACTCTGCTCATCCAACTGCCCAAAGGCCTCTATTTTTTAAAAGGATATTTACATTTTGCTACTAGGGTTGCTAATGGAGAGGGAGGGGGCCCCGCATCTAGGTGGACTGTTACATTCCTAAATTCACTATATCAAGTAGTACACGATACTTTCTTGAGTATTATCACACCTGTATTGAAAATAGCATTAATATTAAAATTCTTTTTTAATAAAAAAAGTTTCCAAACAAGTTTAAATATAATATTGCCTCATTTTGCCTTGGAACTAATGCTTCTAACACACATGAAACATTTAACAGTTTGGCTAATAAATAGAAGACATTTTGCTAAGACACTGCTACTATGATTGTAGTGATTGTCCCCAAAGTGCTCAGCGCCATCATCCTCAAACAATTTCCAGTATATTTTTAACTTTTAAACATAGATAGTATCAACCATTTAAGAGTTTCTCTTTCAAATAGAATGAAGCATTCAATAAATAGTAATTTTTAATAATACTTCTACTTTACCTCAAAGTATTAATTTACAGAGCACCAGGCCTAATATCCCATTTAATCCTCTTGGACTTCACTATTTGATTTCTTACTTAAGTTCATAATTGTGAACCCATGGTCTACATAGGCTAAGATAATGTTTTAATAATTTGGTAGGCCTTTTTACACTTGATTTTATTAAAAGTCAGGGAGTTAATTTTCAAGAACAGTAGGCAAATAATATACCATTCTGACGCTCTCCTCCTTTGAATGTGAGCTAATACTGGGAATGGTATTATTTCTTTTTTCAGCCACTTGGATACAAGTTCTGCACTTGCACACAGCCAAGGCTATCATTGCAAGAGGTTAAAATGGTGATTCTAAAAGAAAATCTAGCCAAAGATGTGGCCATGTTGGTCCCCATGGGTGAAGCAGTGGATCCAGTGGAAAGAGTGGAGATGCAAGAGTGAGACTGAACCCCAGCTTTCAGCATTTGCTAGCTGCATAGCCTTGAACAATTCACAATGTTGGTGGTCAATGTTTATAGACCCAGTCATTTGGTCTATAAAATGGAAGCAACTAGACATACCTCATAGAGCTGTGAGGTGGGGGACAATGAGGTATAAGTACAGAGCCCAGCAGAGTACTTGGCTCAGAGTATGTGCTTAATAAATGGTGGTTATTGTAATTATTAGCATAATATGTTGTCTAAATGCACGCAGTAGAAGAGTGGGACCTCCCTCAACTTAGGCTCAAGAAAGCCTCTGCTAAAATCTGGATTCTCCACTTATTCTGCATAACCTTAGTCAAATCACTTAACCCTTCTGGGTCTCTGGTGGGTGGTCTAATGTCTATGATTGCCTTCAGCTCTGAAAGCTTTACCTAAATTCAGGGTGTTTGTTTTGTCTCTGGTATAATCATATATTTGTACACACAACTTTGCAAAGTGAATATACTTAATAAACTATTTATTGTAACATTCTGTAATCAATTTTAAAGGACCGACTTTATTCCCAGATTGAATCATTAAGCTAATAACTCACTTGAAAGCTGTGGATTAATTTATCTGGCTCTTCTATATAGCAAAAGTGAGTTTCCACTAGTAAAATTGACAGGCAAGTGTAATCAGACCTCCAGGTGGTGTTAAATTTCAAGTCTCAATTGTTTTATCACACTTACAAAAAAATTTCAAGCTTCCTTGGGCTTTCTTCTCTATTACCTTGTGTACTGGGTAAGTTATATACTATATGATGAGTTGTGTAAATTACTGGGTAATTAACATACTGTATTGATGAGTTGTTTAAATGTTAAAAACAAGTTCCAGTGCTTTAAAATGCTGTTTCCAGTCCTCAAAAAATATACTGCAAGACATTTAGCAAATAATAAAACCACTACCTCTTTAAAGAAAGAGGAGGAGACATTAAATCTGTCCCTTACAAACTTTAGAAAATCCGGTCCAACCAATCGATTAGACTTAACGATACTGACTGCTAGCTAATTTAATCAGGTTAAATAAAAACTTCTTGCTCATATTGATTTTGTGGACACAGGCCCTCTGAAACTAACTTCGCTAAACTAATATAGTTTAGTACCAAGTCACATCTATCTTAACCCCTGAGCAATCTAAGTGGGTGGTTTTTTTCTCCTGAAGATAAAAAGGATGAACCCAAGTTTCCAAATCTTGGGAGACTGGGCTTTCATCAGATCTCAGATGGAATCCTCTACAACTATGGCAATAGCTGGAATTCACAATTTTCCCCTTCTTAGGGGAAAGGTCGTCTGCAATAATAATGTTAAACTGTTACTCACTACTTACCGTGGGCCAAGGTCTGTTGTACATGCTTTACACGTAGGGTTTCAGTTCCTCCTCACAGCAACTCTCCTGAGGTAAGATGATTATTTTCCCCGTTGTACGGACAAAGATGCTCAGGTCAGAAAGATGGAGCACTCGCCCAGGTTACACAGCTGGTGAATGGTGGAGCCAGCAATGACAGTATTGAACATCTGGACCTGTTGGCAGATGCCGAGCTGAAATTGGCACTTCTGGAGATCAACAAAATATTTCCTACATTTTTAGCTTACTGCTAGATCCTTCTGAAACCATTCTTGGAAATACGCAGAAAGTATTAGAACATACAGCCAGTTTAAACACTGTGGTTAAGCCTTCAGACTGGCATTAACAAGATATTTTTCTATGTGACTTCTTGCAGGGTCTGTTGTACCAAATCAATAGGAAACAGTGGAAGGGATTTTAGAGATCATGGACTCTTCCCTCTGCCACCCATTATTTGTAAATGAGGTGGCTAAAAATTAGAAAGATGGAATAATTTGTTTAAAGGCAAACAGCAAAGGCAGGACTAGAATGTTAAAGTAATTGCAATAATTGGCATATGCATTATTCCTCCACCACCGCCAAAAAATTTTTCTATCATACTAGCAGGGTGACCTTGGGCAGGCTACTCAGCCTCTCTGTGTTTTAATTTCCTTTCCCATACAATGGGAATAATAATGGTACCTACCTCATAGGATTGGAGCAAAGATTCAATGAATTAATGCCTGTGTAGAGTATTTACAACAGGCTTGGCACATAGAAAGTGTTATAAAAAGCTTTTGAGTTTTATTGAAAACAGAAGCAATTGCTAAACTGAAGCATTACATATGCCTTCCTTTTTATTGACAGAATAATGTCAGGTTTAAAAATCTAAAGTGTAAGGCAACATAGCATAGTGGCTCAGCATGTGACTCAGATACCACTGTACCTGGGTTTCCCCATTTGTTAAGTGGAGATAAGCAATAGCATCTGGCTCTTGGAATCGGTTATTTAAATGAGAAGTAAATAAACTAATATACTTAGCTTAGAACAACTCCTGGCACAAATGAGCCTTCAGTAAATGTTAACTCCTATTATTAAGGCAAAATACAGAAAAGTAATTAGTAGGCTAAATTTGCTGCTCAGTTGTTAGGGACAACCATAAAAGTACTGCACTGAGAAGTCTTTATAATTTAAGTATATTGGGAAGAAAAAAGAGACCTTAAAAAATGAGGACTTAGGCCACTCCAATGCCCCCAACAGAATATGGAACTAATGAGAGCTAGATACACGCTCCTCGTGGTCCCATGATCAAAATATTGTGAAACAACGAATGACTGCCCAGGCTGGCCGACTTGGCTGTGTTTGACCAAGATTATTCCATTTCCATTTATTGAGGCTGGTCACATCAGAAAGGCCAGGCTAGCCCCCTGGGTCCCTACCCCTTTCTGTCAGAGGAATCCCGCAGGGAGAAAAGCTCCTTGGAAGACCCAGAGTTAGGAGGAAGTGTGTGTTGATTTACTTAAATTATCTGGACAAAAGGTTTTTTTATACTAGTTTTCTCTTTAGTCATTCTGGGTTCTTTTTAAAGATGCAGTTGAGTTAGAGAACTTAGGAATAAACCTCCAACAACACAATCAGAACAAACTAAGTATATGTATTTTGTATTTTGATCAGAGAAGTATTTTTGTGAATATATAAAAATAATTTTACAGTCAAATAAAGAATGGAATTAATATTTGTGAAGTTTGTATTTTATAGACTCAGGCTATTATTTTATCTATTTTTATATTTTTTGGCTAAAAATCATTAGATGAATATGTAGGCTACTTTCTTGAATGACTAACTCTGAAGAGCATTCTAAGCATTCTTCAAAAGTAATGACTTTACATGTATGTGAAAGTTACATTTTTTTTATATTAAGTCCCAGCAAGTTGGGGAGTCCATTTGCATTAACGACTTTAGGCAACAGCTACCTGCCACTCTCCAAACATCTGGTGAGCAGCTTACTTTGTGTGTGCCATCTATTTCTCTCTGATGTCAGAAAAGCACTGGGCTGGTGTCAGGTCTCTCTGGGCTTGAGCCGTAGTAGGAGTATAAATGACTGCCATCCTGGGAATACAGCCTTCACCCCAAGCCCGGGGACACTTTAGGGTTTCTACCATCTGAAACTAGATTTATTCAACTTTAAACTGACTCCCAATCCTTACTCTGTCAACAATGCTCGCCTGTGGTATGGCCCTGTGTGGCAAACAGGATGTGTGGCTGGTCACTACTAAGATAAGCTTTTTCTGGTCGTGGTGTGTGGTTAGCAGGCTCAAAAAGCTTACACAGATTCACCAGGAGTATCCCAAAGCATGTGTCTTTCTCAATAACCTGTATCGCTTTCCCTGTGCTTCTGAGCCTATACTGTCACCAGTCCCACTAAATGCAAGAAGGTTGACTGCCAGTCACCAGAGAGGAAAACAGGGCACAGACCCGGAGGTAGAAGAAACAGAGAGTTCCTCAAAAAGAGACAAAAGATAGTCCAGAGTTGCTAGGAAAGCTTTTTGTTTCACAGTGAGGATGAGGCCCCTCGTGTCTGCAGATGATTTGTATGTAGACCAGTGTCATAAAATGAAACATTGCAGTAATTTTTGTTCCTTAGAAAATATCCTTTCAGCAAATGCATGGTTGGACATTAATTTGTATCTTTTTCAATATCCAAGAAATTTTACATAACAGTGTTATTGACACAAATCCACTTGATACTAGAAATTGCTAACCATCCAATGTTTAAATAAGGTAAAAGAGCTTTATGAGCAAATTTATAAAGACTTGCTTTTACGTTGAGAAACTCAAGTATCTTTAAGCTCTGTCTATACTTTCAAAGGAAGAAAATACACAAGTCACTGTTGTACTAGGTCATTTGAAACAAGACAGGCCAAAAACCTGCTTTGTCTCAGTGTAGGACTTCGGCCATTGCTTTTTTTTTTTTGCTTTTTTTTTGAATAATTGCCTTATCACTCCATTTATTTATAGCTAGAACCCTAAAAGAAAATAATTTCACCTGAATGAGTAAACATCTTTAGGTGAAGNGTGGCCATTGCTTTTTTTTTTGCTTTTTTTTTGAATAATTGCCTTATCACTCCATTTATTTATAGCTAGAACCCTAAAAGAAAATAATTTCNTCGGCCATTGCTTTTTTTTTTTTGCTTTTTTTTTGAATAATTGCCTTATCACTCCATTTATTTATAGCTAGAACCCTAAAAGAAAATAATTTCACCTGAATGAGTAAACATCTTTAGGTGAAGCTGCTGCCCTTTTGGTAAAATGGATCATTTATTTGTAGATCAATTCAAGATGTATTTTTAACTGCCTATTGTGAGTCAGGTAGGCACTGTGCTGGGCGGAAAGGATTAAACTATGAGCAAAACACAATTCTAGACTGCAGGATCTTGCAGTAGCATTGTTGTTACACAGGCACATAACCAATAATTTCAACAGTGTAAGAATTGTGAGAGTGATGATATGGACCTTGCAGCTGAATCTTGAGAAATGAAGAAAATGTCAGCTAGGTGCAAAAGGTGGGAAAGTTGTGTCAAACAGGAAAACCAGCAGGAACGACTGCAGGGAGACAAACACGATTTAATAAGCAAGATCATCATAATACAACTTACA